TATATATATATATATTAACTTTCTCTTCACAACTAATAATTACTTGAAAAAAGAAAAAAGCTGCGATTGGTTGATTCGACAGAAGAATTTCGTTTTATCTGTTTTAGGCAGCTATATTAGAGAAACCTGATGACCTCTACGTATGCGGGGCATCGCTTGTGGACAAAAACTGGGTGTTGACGGCTGCTCACTGTGTAGACGATTAGTAAGTATAGACCTACATAAATGTATAAATAAGTAAATACATAAACGAATAAACAAACAAACAAATAATATACCCAGATGTAATATATTTAAACTAAGGCGTAAAATGTTTAAGAAACATGCTGTGCCATGAAATTTAAATTAATTATTGAAATGTAGCGTGCATGATTACTTAGAAGGTGAGAAGTATTTTTCCAACAGATCCTTTTGGTTAGGAAAAAATTGACATCAACTACACAGCAATTAATTTATTTAACATTTTTATTAATAATTACATGAAATAATAATTACAAAAATCTTTTAATTTTTTATTTATTTGCCATGAAAAATCCTAAAACATGTATCTACACAGGTGGGCTTATTACAGTTTTGAACATACCCCGGGTCCTTTTTCTCATCAGCCTTTGTGCTCAATTTTTCTGTAGGTGCCCCCCAACTCTTGCTGATGCACTCCTACTGGACATCAAGCACTCCTACTAGACAATAGTTTCTTTAGGGTCATGGAAGGCAAGGAGGAAACTCACAGGCTGGCTATATATCACCGCAGACATTTTTCTCTTTATTTTCAAACTGAAATTCTCCGCTCAATACTTTGTTGCTTTCTGTCGTCACCTTCGGCAAGGTCTTTCTATTCATTATTTGAGCTTGGTTATTTTCTCCTAGCGTTTTGTCTAATTCGGCATTGTTTTTTATACGAATGAGATTTTGGAACATTGTAACAAAGCCCAAATAAACTCTCATTTGTTACTTGTCTTACTTATTTTTGATACATTTCAGTTACTTTCTCGCGCCATGTTCATAAGAACAGAAAGTATTGTAATAGTGCGACGGAAAACGGCGAATTTTCGACAGAAGAACTCTTAACGCAGGCCCTGGTAACGAAAAAGTGGATAAATCGCGTTTCTATGTTTAGTAAATTACTTCCTCAAAAACGTTCTGTAGTTAGAATCCTTGTTTTGTGGATCCTTGACATCAATAAATCTAGTGCCGGCAAAGCGCCTGTTTCTCTGACCGTCCGTCTGTGGTCATCCCCTCCAACTAAACTGTTCAGACGATTTTCTCCAAATTTATACTCCCCTTCCTTTTTGATTGAACTCGAGACCCTCTGAGTTCGAAACGGATATTTTGATTTTAGGGGTACTTTACATGAAGCCTCAAACATTTTCAAAATTTTCTCAAAAATTGCTACAATTTTTTGTTTAAACACTGACCTCGAATAGCGGAAAGAACGCTTAAGAGAATAGTGCAGGTTCCATTTTTGTTGAAATATCTGTTTTTGAAAATTGCGAAAGTTGCGATTTTTCGGAGTCATCTTACAACTATAATACTGAAGAGACTATAATACGGAGATTTGTTCTTAATTAAATCTGTAGTTCAAAGATAGATCTTTAAATAAGATCCGAAACAATTTTTCAAAAATAGGAGTAATTTTTGAGTAATTTTGCGTGATTGATTAGTGATTCCGGGCGCGTCAACTGCTAAAGTCTTTATCCCGTAAGTGTTGTGTACGTTTTTATCATGGGCGGTGGCTGCTCTCCTGCCCCTCTGGCTGGCGAGGTGCTGCGCCCAGGTACGTCAGATCGCCTGAATTTTTCCCAACGAGGTATTTCACACCAGCGGGGCACCGCCTCTGCCGGGACACGTTCTAAGCTCCCGACGTGTGATAGTGTAGTGCATGTGGGTGTAAGTGTAAGTAAGGGGTGATAAAAGAATAAAGAAGAAGAAGGAAAGATCGTGAGCAGTCCATTGCTTGATTGTTATGGTACTGCTCCGGAATATACCTGGTGTTGATAGGAAGAACCACGGAAAACTGCTGATGAAAATAGTCGGCCGCTAGAATTCTCATCCTTCAGAACATTTGGAATCGTTTGTTGATGACAGATGTTTCTTAATTTTTTTCTAGCTCAGTCAACATAGGCGAACTCAATGTAGTATATCTCTTCACTTGTCACACAATCAAACTTTAATAACTCTCAGGAAATATCTTGCGATGATAACGCTTCGAATTACATTAGATTGTCTCCCCAAAAACGCCGATTTTGTCTTACGCTGTTGAGAATGACCTGTTCACCACTTCAGCAACTTTGCGGACACAAAGACCTCGATTTAAGTGTTTCTTTTTGACGAACGATTTCGAAGTTTTAGTGAACGCGTGGATGTGTAGAAAGACGTCTGGGCTGAAGGAACATCTCTTTGCATGCGTGTGTTCGATAAAACTCGCTTGAAACCTTTTATCAAAAGGAAACGTGTAAATCTGGGCTGTGGTGGGGAATCATAAGACTTTTGGCCCCTTCGCCGAGACATTTCCCTAACAAACTTCGTAACTCACTCAAGATCAAACTTAATCACTTCTGGATGTGTTTTCCACGTGTGAAACATAGAGTTCGTTTTGCTTTGGTCCAAATTGGTCGTCGCGAAAGTAGAGTGTATGGTTTTAAATATGACCTGTATGAGCATTATTTTGTTAAATTTTTTTATTTGTATATTTTTCTTTGTTGTTTAAGTATGTAAAAGGTTGAAATATATTCTAGTTTTTATTTCCTAATATATATTTCAAATTATCCACCATAAAAACCATAATCTGGATATTTGCCTGATCAATTGAGTGTACGAGATTCACATTGACTGGCTATATTACGTTTTCTACAGGTATCCATGCATCTCACTACCTCCACACTGAAAAGGCAATATTTATTGGTAATATTAAGAGAAACATGGTGGTGGTGAATCTTTGCTCCTGAAATGGCTCCATCTATAAAGTTTTTCCAATATTTATGTTGCAGTGCGAGGGAAAAAGGCGTCAGCTTAAAAGTGCGACTAGGTGAATATGACGTGACCTCGACCCAAGAAGCTCTAGTACACGAAGAGTATGATGTCTCAAGAATAGTGCTATATCCTGCGTTCAACAATTCCACATTGGCACACGATATAGCGCTTCTAGAACTCCGACAAGCGGTTCAACGAAGGCCTCACATTGACGTCGTCTGCCTTCCCCAGCCAGGTGGCCCTTTTCATAACATAACGAGCGTGGATCACCGAACACGCTGCTTAATAACAGGCTGGGGGCGTCGAACTGAAGGTAAACATTTGAAAGAAAAGCAGTATGTCATATTCCATTGAACGGATTCCGGAATTCCCCTTGGAGCTTTCAAAGGCGGTTGCACTCGGTTTCAAAACTTAGAACTATGCAGAAAATGATTTTTAAAGTGCTTTAAACAGCCGGGATACCAGGCTTGCACAGCGCCTGAGTCCGCGGACATTTTGCACTCCAGGCCCCGACGTCTGCCCGCAAGAGTGGCATGAGTGAAAGTAGTGCGGGGTCAGCAGGTTAGCGGGGAAGGGGCAGCCTGCACCGTGTGGACGACGCGGCGCATAGATTGAACGCCTGGGCGTCTAATACCTCGCTTTATTTTACCTTTCGAATTTCTCTTAAGTCTGTTTTGTGGCAATATTGTGCCAACTTACATAATGAGAGCAATATCTCACATCAAGATTGACATAAAAATGAAATATATACAAAGTCCAAGAAGAATATTTGTCAGTCCATATATTCGTGACCATCCGCCCCTCATAAATCTGAATAAGAGATACCAACGAGCATACCTCTCTTACCATCTGCTACGGGCAAGCATGAGGTTATTATGGATCTTGTTAAATAGAATGCAAAGGGCGTAATATTTTTATACGATGTAAACTATTATGAATAGTGTTTGTTGTTTTGATATCAGAAACGTATAATGTACTCTTACCAGAAATTAGAACAGCAAGTACTAACGATGATTTTTTAAGAATAAAATGTGTTGAGAAATAATTAGAAAATGGTTTATTTCTATCATTATCAAACAAAAGCGATTTAAATAACAATTTTGTGTTTAGAACCATACTAAATTTGTGATTACATCGTAGCAAAGTGAATTACATTATCAGCCGTACAAAAAATTATAATACTTAGTTTCTAAATCAAATATGAGTATAAAATTCGTTTTAAGTTCATATTTCACATTGTCATCTATCGACAACAAATATTTCCACAAAATATTTCCAAAATAGAAAAGGCAAAATAAATGTAAATGTGTTTAAAAGTCTGTCATGTTCTTGGCGCTTGCTCTTTCAATTTACGCGCCACGCTTCGAATAGAACATTCTCATTGATAGTCCCCACACCTAGAATGAGCCTCATCCCCACACTTCTTTACATCCCACATTTGCACTCGAGAGGCTCGCGCGCAGCTCCCGAGGTCAGTGGAAGTACAAAAAACTGTGCAAACCTGCGGCATAGGCAACGGATTGCGACTGGCTCTGAGTTTGACCCGAAAAGAATTGAGAGGCGGCGCATGCCAAGGCATTCAAAGCGTCAAATGTCTTTCTCCGCTAGCAAACGTTCACCAACTTCTGCACTGAGACATGCTGCAAAGAAATCAGACCCAGGCGTAAATCAGAATTCAGGCAGTTACGTTTTTTCTCTTCCCTGTGTTTCGTTTCCCTCCCGTTATTTGCCTCAAACAGCCTACTGTACGAGGTGAGATGGATGCACCCATATCAAACATCCGTCGTTCCACCGATCACTGGTATCAACGCGTTTCAACTTCTCTGGTAATTGCCGCCTCGAAATCAAAAGAGAAGGGAAATAGAAAGAAAGATGGCGCATAGTCCCTCGACGAAAGTAACCATTACTATTCCGGAATGCACCTAGAAGCATTCGGAGAATCCACGGAAGATACTGATCAGTGCAGTTGCACTAAGAATTAGATTCCGACAGACGATATAAATTCACTGATGTTCGGGGAATCATGCCGATCTCCATCCAACATTTTGTTTTCAATTTTACTGAATATATTCAAAGTGTTTACTATATATTCATCGCATCACTAGTAAAGGAAATTCACATTACGCATAAGCATTTTTTCTCGCCTTACTTCCTAAGAAGAGAAATCATGTGTCGCAAATCGCCGATTTTCTACAGAAAACATTTTATTGCTAGATCCTCGTAACGAAAAAGTGGATTGATCCTATATGTTGCAAATTAGTTCAACAGATTGTGCTGACATAAAGCATGTTTTGTGGGTCCTTGATACCGGAAACTCGATTGACGGCAAAACAGGTCTGTCTGCATATCTGCGGTCAACACCTAAACCGTTTAGACGATTTTCTCCAAAATTGATATTGTCCGAACGATCAAAACGAACTCGAGACTCTCCGAGATTGCAACGTATGTTTTGAATTTTGGGAGCAATACACATTAATCCTTAAGTTTCAAAATTTTCTCAGAATGGTTCCAAATGGTTTAATAAACTTTGTCCTGGAATAGCATAAAGAATTCTTTAAATAATGACGTGATTTTCATTTTCGTTAAAATAGCTGATTTTTCGAAAATTGCAAAAAATCGATCCAGTATTTTCTGCGTTTTCCTACAACTACAATATTGAAAATAGAGAATTTTTCCCAAACGAAATGTGTTGTTCAAAGACAGGTCATGAAATAAGTTTCTTTACAATTTTTCAAAAATAAAAGTAGTCGTGTAATTTTGCATGAAATATAGGCAATTTTTAAATAAGTATTTTTTTAAATCGAGTGTAATTTTTTCTTTAAGTTTTCCCCTCGTATGATAGAAATATTGTTAGACAGAATGATAAAAATATTGTTAGCCTCAATTATGGCAAACTCTCTGAATTTTTAAAAATTGTAAAGAATTGACATTGCAAAAATTCAATATTGAAGATAGAGATTTTTGTCTTAAATGAAATATGTTAAAAATAGGCTTTAAAAAAGTCAACGAATACTTCTTGAAAAACGAACATTTCTTGCGTAATGACTGAAATGAATGTAAATTATAAAGAAAACATTCTCAAAACAGGCTCCGAATGTTTTCTCTAACTTTTCGCCACGTATGTGTCCAAGATCTGTAAAACATTGTGCTCGTCCCATTTTCAGGGAACACTCTGTATTTTGAAAAATTAATATGGCAAAATTACAATATTGAAGAGAGAGATGTTTGCCTTAAATAAAATGTTCTAAAAAATTACATATTTAAAAAAGGTCATAAAATTGTTTTTCGCGTAACGATGTAAACAATTTTTGTTACGAAATTGTAGGAAAAGGAAAAAGAAGGTTCGACGATTCTTTTGATTTCATTTCAATAAATTAGAATTTTTTTTACCATTCTGTTAGTATATTTACACAATTTTAACAAGGGAAGATCAGAATGTGTTGATTGCCTAGAGGCCCTGGTTTTCAAGTTTGCATCTGCTTACGCGATTGTCTATCCACCAGGCATATAGTTCGCGGTTTTGGTTTTACCTGCCCCACGCCCCTGTCTGTCGGGTAACATAGAATTCGCACCCATACTTCAAATTAGGGTTGTGGTTATTTATTTTAGCGGATATACTCTAAATAGCGCTCTTTGTGAGTAGCGTCCATGCCATGTGCCATGTCTGTCCTTACCGTAGATTCACCTCTGCATTCAAAAATTTCATTTTGCAACTGATCAATGTCGTATTTGTCTCCATTTTTTCGGTACACCACGTAAGTAGTATGTGAGAAAGCAAAAACGAAATATCAAACATTTATTATAATTTTGTTGACTTTTGTTTCAGTGACGGAACATTCAGTGGTTTTGAAAGAGGTACCTGTGCCATTGTGGCAGAATGCTGCATGTGAGGCAGCTCTGCGAAAACAGTTTGGACCGAATTATCATTTACCAAGCACTTCAATTTGTGCTGGGGCCGAAGAAATGGACGCTTGTGATGTAAGTACAATTTGTTTTGCAACAACATAAAACGCAATATTTGAAAAGAACATTTTACAGACATTTTCTCTGCTCAAAATCGTACTTTTTAATATATTGCAATGTATCGCCTCCCGACGCCAGACCCGCGTCCATGCCGTTCGCTCTCCCACGCGCCCAAACGAAACCCCCGTGTTTGTCACGTCGGCAAGCGCCGCGTACCACCGAAAAGAAGGCCGAAGTCATCAAACTTTTGAGACACGCCGTATTCCCAGGCGAGCAAGTTGCCTGCCGAGCGCCAGGAGTATTCAACCAGCCCCTGGTGGAAAAACAACCCCGAATCGCCCCTAATAATCCGTCGTTACCCATGGCAGCTCTCCATCGGACGCCCTAAGGGAAGATTCACAAAGTCCTCTTCGGGGCAGAGTTAAGGAGCCCGACGAAGCTCCGAAGAGGAAAACTAGGAAGAACCCTCGTTTTCTGACCACCCCGGACCACCCCGGACCACCCCGGGAGAAAGCGGGAACCGTGGAAACTGGGTGGACAGGCGCCGTGGACGAAAGTCTCGGCGTCGTGAGTGCGTCCCATAGCACATAGAGCACGGGATTCTGGCACCTAGTTGGATACGATACCCCCCCCCCCGATTTCCTAATGTAACTGCGTCGTTAGGGTGCTCGGGCACATGGCCAGACGAAGCGGCTCACCTCAGCTTATCCTCTGGAGTAATCGACCCCCCACCAATAATCCAGTGTACCGGCACCGACAGAGCCTGCACTGGGGGACGCCAGCTCCGCGCTAGTGCTGGTCGTCGCCGGGCAGCCCCCTAAATCGTAAGCGTCAGAGCAGTAGAATGTATGGCATACACGTAAGCTGCACTTAGCGCAGAACGAAACCCAAATAGGACCCGTCACAAACACGAGGCAACTCGAGGCCGAGACTACGCGCAGTTCCATCGAGAATGCGATTTACTCAACAAATGCCTCCAGTTCTGTGGATGGAAAGGCAGCAGTTTGTTACCTGCTATTTTAGTCCTGGGATAGGCCGAAGCCCTACTCATTAGAGTCCCCGGAGTCGAGGGTCCACTGCTATGATGAGTCCAATTCAGAATGCAATTACAGAGCCCGTTGTGAATCGTTTTGTAATACTAAAACTAACTTAAACCTAAGTTTTGTCTTTAAGGGGCGGTATGGCTTTCTTTCATATTGAAAATTGGGCCAGAAAGTAACGTTTCTGGTGTACCCAGATTTGTGGACCTGAGGGATTTTAGGGCCTTGACGTGAGCTAGGATAGAACCAAAATTGAAGGTGCCAACCCAGGTTTGTCTTCCTCAAACGCTCCAATCCCCGGAACGGCCCTTTGTTGCGAGCATTTGCCCTCCTCTCGCCACCAATAGTCAATAAAAACGACAAGAGTAAAGAAAACATGATTACCAAAATGTATGTAAAACCTTATGTACTTTTCTACATAAACGCCGAAGATTGAGGCATCAGTCTTATCTGTCAACAAGCTTTTCGGTTCCCTCTGCGTAAGACATTCCCGTCATTGATGAGAGATGGGCCTGTTCTTTACCTTGAAGCTCCTCGTTGTTCTGGAATGGTCAGCCTCCCAGCCAATTCTTCAATTCGAGGAAGAGATGTAAATCACTCACCGGTAAACATACGCCGAATGATCAATACTCACCTGCTCCAGATGTTGTTTGGTTACAATAGTATTGTGACGGCCGACGTCATGAATAAGAACGTCTCCAGATGCCAGCATTTTTCATTTGTTTGAAAGTTTATTCCGTATACTCTACTTGTTTTTGTGAATTTCTAGCGCGCTGTTCCCTTTGTCTTGCAGAAAACAAGTAGCACTTGGCAGAAGTGTGTAGCTAAACCTAGAGAACAGCAAAATGCAGCTCGCACTTGCCGAGAGCGTCAATTGTATCGACCTTCTTCTCCTGCATACAGTTCAGATTAAATTGGCGTCCGAGCCTCGGAATTGCCAGAAGTTGTGGTAAAAAATGTGCACTCGCCCACATACCATCCCCGAACCCTCCGACTTGTGTAGCTGTTTAAAGGCTCGATCGGAGGTTGAAAAAACTGCCCTTGTAATAGTAATAAAAAGGAATGCTGGACTTTTTTCTTAACTTTTAAAATCTGATTGAAATAACTTATTGCTATTTTATTAAGGAAAGTTCTCGAAGTTCTTTGAGGTTGCCGCAAGAAAGAATACAGAATGGAACAGTTGACATTTCTTTAACATGTTAAGTTTTTTAATAACTCATAATGACCCCTTTCTAGTTGGCTTATTTACAAAATACAATGAAATTTTCACATTTTTATTTAATTAAATTATTCACGCCAACACACTTTCACATAACAAAAATGTGAAATATTCATTGTGTTTTGTAAATAATCCAACTAAAAAGTGGTCATTATCAGTTATTAAAGTATAATACATAAAGTTGGCAAAGAACAAAAACCTTTACAAGTAAAAAAAATGTTCTGGGAAAAATACATTCTGCGAAAAACTTGTCACTCTACTCCGATTTAAATACAGTGGTACTTCATGGTCACGAGCTGATAGAATGGGGACATTGCATTTGCAATTGGGAGCACGAATTCCAAAAATTTAAGCCGTAACGAAGCTTTCGATTCGATGACGGTGTCCGTCCAGCTCATGGTCTTCAAGTGCCACTAAGTTTGAATCGGAATATATACACCATTAAAGAAACACAATTTCTCTTTCTGAAAATTAAATTACAAATCAAACAAACCAATGGGTACCCTTTACACTCTCTAGTAGACTAATAAAATAACAAATTACACAAAAACTTAAACAATGGTTCTCTTACCTGTAACCCCTGTGGTCAAATTTGTTTTAGTTATAAATGGAAATTTTTTCACAAAATCTATTATAAAATGCCTTTTCCCATTTCTATACTTTGTTAATTCGAGATTTCTTTTTTTCTGTTCCACAATTAGAGTATACGATTTGGTATAAATGAAATATTCGAGGCAAATATTTACTTGAGTGACAAATTGGTAATCCTCTCATACAATTATTTTGATAATTTATTTCTAACTAACCTGACTCATTAAGAAGACTGTTTGAGAAATAAACAATTTTCTTTACTTGCAAAGAAAATATGAAATGAGTGTTCAGGTTATTCGCTGCACTAAAGAACAATTATTTTCTTATATGCCAAAAATATGTTTTATCGTTACTGCTGTTTCCTTACTCTTCTCACTGGAAAACGTACCTGTGTTTGTCGTCCTGCTGACCATGGCACACGGACTTAGAGCATACTCTCACTCTTTCAGCTCCACGTCGTCTTGCACCCCTCCCACCCACTTACAACGGTGCAATAATTCTACAAAACTGTCAAACACTTTTCTACAATAGATGGAAAAAATTCACTATCGTCATGATTGAAAACACTGATCTCACCTAGGGCTCCTAATCTTATAACCGCTCGTGATCATCTTAAACGTTCGAGATTGACGTCATCAGGAATGAAATGCGAGTGTCCGTATTCTGAGGTCGTGATTTTCGTTCTCGATATCACGAGTGGTGTTTGGAGCACTGAGATTCATCACGAATAGTAAACTGTGTTAACATAACCTCATTATCTTCATATACTGAGGGAAGGTGCGTAGTAAATTGTAGAAAGCACATAGGGTATTTTTATCAAATAACTTTGTATGTTCATAGATGTTACTATTATATCATCTACGATTTTTATATGAAATACCATTTATTATTATTATTTCACTAAGAATATGTGTTTAATGTAAATATGCTTTGCCTAATGAAAATGATAGCATTAGAATTATGCTTTCAGAAATGGATGAAATAGTCGCACTAGTGTTAGAATCGTAATCTGCTGCAGAATACGATTCACAAGCCTTGCCGAGACCTATTGCAACTACTCGCAATCCTTTTGAAGAACTCTCAAACAGAGAATTCATTAAAATATTCAGTATCCAAAGAGCTGTTCAATTATATTACATTAATTCTGAGCCCTTACTTGAAGCCAGCTCGTGCTCGTAAGGACATAGATGTGGCTATGAAGGTATGCTATTGTTTAATAAATCTTTTGTTATTTTGCACTCGTAATTTTTTTGTAATTTTTTTTGTTATTTTATAACTAGTATATTTTTCACGTTTTGCTTGGGCTGTAACCGGGTGCTGATAGTATTGAAGTTTTTTGCATCAGGTAGTTATGAAAGAGGCATTGCAAATAATTGGTTCCTGTGTGTATAGCAGCCATGTCAGCAGGTGTATTCAAGAAATTGCTACTGGATTAAATCATCCTAGAATTTTCAATGAATTTGTATAATTTCCATTCAACTTTCAGTAACTCAATCAAGTTTGATCTCTATTTTATCAGTTCTTTTGCCCTCGAGTCATTGGATGTATTGATAGCACCCACATTGCTATTTTCCCCCCAACGCAAATCATCCACAGTATCATTCAATAAATGTTCAATTAGTCGATGATGCAAATTTAAAAATCTTTATTTGTCTATCTTAATAACATCCTGTAGACAACAACATTTCGTAAGCTTTTCTCTTCTTTTTAACCATTTCCTTGAGTTCTTCATTCCACGATTCACATCGTTTCTTCGCCTTTCCCTTGATGCCGATAGTAAATTCTGCAGAATTCTTTATAATGTATAAGATTTTGGCACAATAGTCTGGCATTTCCCACTGGCATGGAACTAACACTTTGAGCTAGGTATAATTGTCATTTAAACCTTGTTGAAGCACTCGTACATTAGACACATTCTTTTTGAGAATTCTATTTTCTTGTCTACGATCTACATATACATATACGATGTTTCACCACGATCTCTCTCACCGTGCGCTCCGTAGTGCGCCTTGTATTCGGGTACCACATGCGTCCACCTTCCAGGTGTTTTAATTCCAAATAATATTCAGCTAAATATTATTCAGTTGGATTTACTTTTTTTAATTTATTACGTCTACACGCTAGGCGACTCCCATCTCCTTAGCGTTGAGAGAACTATGGAGTATTTCTCCCATAACATTGGAATAATCCTCCGTTACAAGGGCCGCTGAGTAATCGTAGTCACGTCAGTCGCAGTCAAGTCAGGGAATCGCCGACAGGTAGCGTCTTCGCGTTCGCGTCTCGCACGCACTCTGATTCATCTACCCATCGACATCGAATTGGGAAGGAAAGGTTTAGGACGCTTCACAGGAGTTGTACTAGACCTGTAAGCAGGCAAACTCGTTTTTCGCAACAAATTTAACATGAGGTTCTACGGCGATTCAACGGGAATCGAACTCGGAACCTCAGTGGTGAAAGGCAAGCAACATTAACCCTGAGCCACGAGAGCACTTTGCAAACCAAAATTAAACCATGAAGTAGAAGCTATAATTAAAAACTGAAATTGAGAAAATTCTCTTACTGTCGAGAATGCCACATCTCATTTAACTTCCGGTGGCCGACTACATTATCTTTTGTCATTACGAAAATTGTCAAAAATTCATACATCTTGTTGAATTGCATGTATTACCTCTTGGTTACTTCGTTTTCTGGAGCTGAAAGTCTCGTATGCGCTGGATGCCAGCGGATTCGTTCGAAATGTGCTAGCTACGCTCCTCTCAAGTTAAAGCACACCTATCCGCTTAAGTCAAAGCAGGCGAGGGACGGCTTACGCGGTAAATCTGGCGTTTAGCCCCCCCATTCACATTTCCGCTAGTTCCATCCCAACGAATAGCGTAACTCTAAAAGAGGAACTTACAGGAGGGAGGGGTGACCGAGAACGTGATAATTAACAAGAGAAGAGATGCGAGAAGAAGAGGAGCCATAGAGAGAATCGATCAAACACGTTAATGTGAAAGTATCTGAAAACATTTTGAGCAGTGGAGATGTTCATGAAGACCTTAACTTATTGTAAGTAAAGAACACGAAGCTGTTCAACCTTATGATGGAAGAATTGCGAAAGTTATGAAAGTGCGCGCAGACTGGGCATATTTGACCCACGCAGAGCCACAAACCGCGGTAATTAACTGAATTTTGGCGAGCAGTCTAGCTGCATCACGTCACGGTCCACTAATACCTACTACGTAACCGTGCAATGTCTTCATCGCGAGACCACATGAGGAACGAGGACCGCGGAGAGCCTTAGAGGCCAGAAGCCGCCCGGGCGAACGACCTGGCATTGCGCTGCGCCTGCCTCACGGCAGTCGCCGCCTTCCGCTGCCTGCCTCGCCCACTCGCTGATTCTCGAGGTAAAAGAACGAGCTGTCGAAATCCATCGACGTTTCCAACGACAGCCGTTTCGATCGACATATCGCGGTGCTCTTCAGGGCAGTACAGCACTGAAGAGGACCGTGATATATCGGTCGAAACGTCGACGCGGCGTTACCCGGACAGCCCAGATCATGACTCTGGCCGCGGAAGCCTACGACATCATTTATCCATCGACGTTGTTAGTTGCCTGAAACTGTTTAAAGAAATTAGTAAACCCCAGTTTGGGAAGTAATATAAGAACACAAACAATGGTTGAATTATAATTCATTAACACTGAAGTATTACATTAGTACAAAAGAAAACTTTGGTTGAGAAGCACGCTCACTTGGTATGAGGTTCGTCTCGCGACTGACTGACGTATGCTTGCCCTAAGAGAAAACAAGAACGAGAATGCACATCTAGCGTTGTCATTCAACCAATCAAATCAACTTATGCAAATGCACACACGAACAAGTCTTAAATTGCTATTTCAACACTTCCCCCACAATTTAAGATCACAAATCTCCCTTATTATCAAAAATAAAGCTGAATCACTACTAAAACGATACAATTAAAAAACAAAAAAATAATTTATCTTTAATACACTTCAAAGATCTCAAGTAACAAAACTGAACTCGCGTAATCGGTTTCCTACAAATATCAGCCGCTTGCTCTTTGCTGCATACTTGCATCACACAGAAGCGACCATTTACAACTTGATCTCGCAAGTAATGATAGTGCACATCAATGTGCTAGGTTTTCTTATGAAACTCTGGGTTTTTAGATAACAAGCAACGTTGGCACGGATTTTAAAAACCCAATGTCTTTAAACATACTTGTCGGCCAAGCTGCTTGTTTTGCTGCTTCGCACGCAGTCACATATTCAGCCTCTGTTTTCGAGAATCTGACGCACTGTTACCTATTACTCGACCACGTAATAGCCGCGCCACAGAAGAAATTCACTATTCCACTTACTGATGTATGCACTCGCGTAATCAACATCATTATACACGTGCAGGACACGTGCTTCTCTGCTGCTGCTCTCGCTGGAATTTGAATTCCCATTGCCGATGTTCTTCTGAAGTACCGCAAGATCCTCTTGATCAATACCCGGTGCCGCATCTCTGTCTTCTCTGAGAACTGCAATGCGTAAGCACACCGCAAAAGCGATGTCCGGTCTTGTGGCCACTGACAGGTACATCGAATCGCTTCGCGATAAGGCGCAGATGCCAGGATCTTATCTCCGGAATCTTGAAGATACTGTAACCACCGACTCACCCGATTACCTGCTTTCCTTCGGCAATTCAGCTTTGCCCGGCTGCATTGTCGGCAGACTCCCTAGAGGGAGGCATGCGTGATCACTGGATAGAAAGACTGAGGCATTGTCTTAAATATTTCTATAATCAATACTTGATTCAACGCGGGTGAAGCCCAATGCCAGAACAAAACTTACAACTAACTTACAACTAATCTTAACTTAAGAAAGGCCGGCATGGCCACAGTTCATCTTAGCTCCGTAGTTTTCGCCCTACCGGGCGGTCGTGACCCAGCTTACAGGGGCGGCGTCGGGCATCCCAGCGCCCGGCAGGTCTGGCGGCGGGCAGACAGAGTCGGTGCTTGCCCCAGGTTTCTTTGTGGCGACCACTCGGCGGCCGCGGTGGCGGCCCACAGTGACTGGATTAGGCCAGCGGCGTGCGTCGACCGGACGGCGCCTCGGCGTTGCTCGGCGCGGGCGGTCGACAAGGCCGCGCCCGGGCGATGGCGGGTCGCTCCGTGATCGTGTCTTTCACGCCCCGGCTTGTACTCACTTTGCTCTTGCGGTCAGGCACTCACATGTGTGTCCCGTCCCATAGTTCGGCTTCCGTCACGCGAGTCGGGCTGCGATGGTCGCAAGTGCTGCGCGGCATTCGGGGCGATCAGGCACGGAAAGCCCCGGCTCCGAAGCAAAGTAACAGCTCTATCCGTCCACCCGAAAAGTGAGCGCTCTCCCCGCTGATTCCAAAGTCAGTCAGCTCGCTCCGCCGCTTCCAAATAAGTAGCCGAGCGTCCTTCGGCGGTCCCTCAGGAAAGCTCGCGTGCCACGTGATTCCTCCCCCGCGTCTCACATCGCGATTGGTAGTCGCGTCTCCCGTGGTTTCTCCGTCCTATCACGGCGTCAGCGGCAGAGCTGCGCTCATGCAACTTTCTCCGAAGTAACCTCCGTCACGTAAATTCCGAAAACTGGGCGTAGGCAATTCCGTGGGGGTGCGGGAGGCGTATTTCCCCATGCGTCACGAGCGTGCTGCCGGCGTGGGTTGCGCTGAATAAGAGGTGCATTCCTCCGTTTCCTCGGCGCGTTTAGCGGCCCTACCCTACCTATCGCAAACGGCACGTTTCCTGCCGTCCTTTATGAAGTCGCGATTCCATATTAAATTTAATATTTAATTCACGTCGCCATCCGACTTGTGCGACCGTCCCATTACAGTACTGATCAATAATCGAAGACACAGGATTAGCTTCACTCATGTTGAAACGTTGGACTACCGACTCAGCGTAACCCTGTTGATGAATCACAATTGATCCATCTTCTTCTTGCGAAATCTGTAGGTTCAAGAAGCAAACAAACTTCTCATTGGTGATTTTAAAATGTGACTGCAACTGCGTGAAGAACTCCTCAACGTCACTCTGCCTGTCGCTGGCACCAACGCGTCGTCAACATACAAAATTACCCAAAGTTTATACCCATTGACATTCCTTAAAATAAGCGGGGACAGCGGTGATAAACCAAGAACTGTCACAACTTCTTTGAAACGCTGATTCCAGCAGCGAGGTGAT